ACACACACACACACACACACACACACACACACAAATACACAGTGGTGATCCTTTTGCAGCCAAGTGGAAATTTCTCTGTTGTCCTTGCCCCTGGACAGTGCCCGGAATGCAGTGTAGTAACAGCTCCGCTCTCCTCCTGTTTGATCCAAGATTAGCTTCAGTGCCCACGTAAGCTGTGGTTCAGTTTGTGCGGTGTGCCTCACTGCTGAACTGACAGCATTGTTGCATCTGAATGAGTCAGTGTGCAACCTGGAGACTCTTTGTGAGACTAAGAGCCATAACGCTGAACAAGATTGTTCTGGGACAAAGGCACAAAATCAAAGCTTTTTGTCTTGCACTCGTCAGGACAGATGCAAAATTACCAAAAGTGCTGTCTGAAATTTGGCATTCTTGCTCATGTCCTGATGAGTGCAAGATGGAAACCTTCAACTGTAGGTCTTCCTTTTGCAGCAGACTCTCGGTCATTGGGTTCAGTTCCTTTATTCTCCGAGATACCTCTGTCTTAACAGCAGAGGGTACAGATCCCAATATTCAGGCCAAATACTACAGACTTCAGTGGCTGCAGCCTGCAGGAATGACCATTCCTAGCCTGCATTGCCAATCTCATTAGCCGAAACATAAAGATGGGAATAAATCAGTTTAAATATTTGGAATCAAGAAAAGTGCTGAACCTGAAGGATCTTTTTCTTATTGGGATGAATAAGTTAATAGGTTCAATTCCTTCAAATGTCAGTCATGTATATTTGGCACCATGTGTTTAAAATTCAGGGAAACTTTTCAGTGTTTAATGTGTCTCATATTGGTGCCTTCAAAACTCTTTCAAAGAAATAGATAATACAGAGCAGGTCTCGGCATTTGAGACAAGTAACATCCTCAGACACTTGCAATGAAACATCAGGAAAATGCTTTTGTTTCCTGTTGAGCCTGGAAATCTGGTGGTAATCTGAGGAGAGACTCCGACCGTGTGCATCTGCAAGAAGCCAACTCATGAGTTTCTACCCTTCAGTTTTATGGTCAGAGGAGGTACATTCAGGGAGAGGGAGGGTGGAGTTAAAGGGCAGCTCTGAGAAATTGCTGAGCTTTGGAAGTATAACACATACATAAACCACTGTCCGATCCCACAATATGTTTTGAGGCTGTATGTTTGAATTCCAATTCGAATCTACTCCTTTCAGAACTATGCAAGAAATTTGGACCCCACTGATTATTGAAAAAGACATTTTTTTTTAAAATGTGCTCAAGCATGAAGCTCCTCCCATTTCAGCATTACCCACCTGGGGAACCGGAAGGTAGAAAATATTGGAATAGGAAGTCAGCCATTTGAGCCTACTCTGCCATTCAATATGATTATCGGCTTGTTCACCCATCTCAACCCCCTGTTCCTGCTCTTGCCCCCATACCCTTTTATCCCTTTAGCTCTGAAAACTATATCGAGCTCCTTCTTGAAAACATTCAATGTTTTGGCCCCGACAGCATTCTGTGGCAGAGAATTCCGCAGGCTCCTCTGGGTGAAGACATTTCTCCTCATCTCAGCCCTAAATGGCCACCTCCATATCTTTAAACTGTTGCCCTGGCTCCAGGCTCCCTGGTCATTGGGAACATCTTTCCTGCATTTACGCTGGCCACTCTGTTACAGCCTTATACAAGTTTCTATGTGATGCCCCTTCATTCTTCTTAATTCCAGTAAATATAGTCCTGAACAATCCAGTCTCTCATCATGTGTCAGTCCTGCCATCCCAGAAATCAACCTAGTAAACCTTCGTTGCACTCCTCCATAGTCAGAAGATCCATCCTCAAATAAGGAGACCAAAACAGCACACAATACTCCAGATGTGGTCTCACCAGCACAGACACAGGCTATAGCACCTACCAGCTTGCCCCAACAACAAGCCTGTGCAGAATTATTCCTGTTCCCATTGTCTTTTGTTCCATAGCACCTTGGATCTTTAATCTCCCTCGTCTTCCTACCTTGCCTTGTCCCTTTGTTTTGTTCATTTGCCCCCTCTGTCCTTTCTATATTACAGCGTAAAGCTATCACATTTCTTCAGTTTTGACAAAGAGCCATTAACTCTGCTTCTCTCCGCACTGATGCTGCCAGACCTGCTGACGTTGTCCAGCACTCTGTTTTTATTTTCGGATTTCCCGCATCTGCAGTGTTTTGTTTTTATTAGACGTCATTGCACCAGCCTCGTGAGCACTATTCTGGATGATGGAGTCATAGAGATTTTACAGCATTGAAAAGACCCATTGGCCCATCGTATCTGTGCTGCCCACAAGCATCTATGTATTCCAATTCCAATTTCTTATACTTGGCCTGGAGCACAGAAGTGAAGAATTTCCCGCATCGTCCATCATGACGACAACATCAAATTGCATTTAAGTAGCACTTTCAATGAAGTGTAGCATCTCAAACAAAATTTGAAACCGACACTTTGATTTGACCTTGGAATTTGAGTGTCACCAGATAGACCAGCATTTACTAATCTCTCTGGAGAAGGTGGTAGTGAGCTGCCTTCCTGAACCACTGGAGCTTAGGGAGACCCACAGTGCTGTTAGAGAGGGAGATCTGGGTCTTTTAACCCAGTGACACTGAAGATCCGCTGTGTCTGCTGGCCACTCACTACCTTCCGAGTGGTTGAGGTTGTGGTTTTGGACGGTGCAGTTGTAGGATGCGTGAAGATATTAGAACAGGTGACCGAAAGCTTGGTACAAGAGGTACTTCGCAAACTGCCAATGGAGTGACACAGAAAATGAGGAAAAAGTTCCAGAGAGAAGGGTTTGGACCTTGATGGAGTAGTGATGAAAATTGGGGATGCAAAAGAGGCTGGAGTCAGAGAAATGCAGGTATTTCTGGGGTGAGATGAAGGTATGAATTTGATTGGGATGGAGGTTAGGGGTGTGGTGGGTTGGTGGGTGCAAATGGTAGACAGTGTGAGACCGTGAGGAGGTTTGAACATAATTTAAAAAAAACTATTTCAATTCTGATAACAATTTAGGACTGGAGGGCAGCATTAGGTTGGCAATCGCGGGGTGCGGGGAAGGGGGAAGATGGAGGAACGGTGCAGGGCAGCAGAAAGTTGGAATGATGTGCTCCCCTCAGGTTAGGTGGCATCATAGAATAAAGTAACCTCACCATAGCCTCATTCTCTCGTTAGAGAGAGAAAGATGACTGAGGGTGGTTTAACCTAAGGGTCACCGTGACTCGGGTGAGGTGGGGGTGCGTGGGGGGTGGTGAGAAGGAGAAACCTTCATGGTTACCTTAGCCACCTTGGGCAGTGAATCTATGGCCGTTGGCATCACTCTGCATCTCAGACCGGTCACCTGAGCGAGAAGGCAGGACTGTTACAATCTGCGCTGGTTACCCAGACTGAGATCACTTCCAAACTTTAGAATGAACATGGAGTAGGGACGTGCTTCCTCAAGAATTCAAAAGGCTGACCTTTTTTCCTGTCAATGCAGGATTTCAGCATCATCTGTCGGCGAATTACCTGCCCCCCAGTGTCCTGTGCCAATCCATCTTTCATTGAAGGAGAGTGCTGCCCCTCTTGTCTCCGTAAGTACATTCTTGAGAAATGGAGAGCTTTCAGTTGTGTTGTCATGTCTCATACTTGCTGGAATCGGGAGTTAATCCCCCCTGGTGTGTGTGGAGGGTGACATTGCCCATTCACTTGTGCCAGAGTAAGGTGCAGATGGTATAGTCCTGTTCTCTCATGTACAGCGACGACCCGTGGCTAGTTTCACCTGAGGAGTGAGGTTCAGAAGGTAAGACTTCCCACGGTGATCCCAGCCAGTGTGGGAGGCAAACCATTGTTGGTGGTACTGTGCATTGCAAACCACCCATCCAGCCAACTGAGCTACCTAGCTCGGTCTGATTGTAAACCCTCTGCTCCCTCAGTTGGGTGTAACAGAGCCTCACGTCAGTTTGTCAGAGAGCAGCAATACTCCCTATTGGCCCAGCTAGTGTTTATCCCTCAGTCAACACCAACCAAAGAGATCATCTCGTTGTTTATCTCTCCTACCCATTATCCATGAGGCTCCAGGAGGTTTCATTTATTCCATAAGGAGCATACCTTCCACAAGGGTAATTTGAGAGAGGCTGTGCCATCCTGTTTTTTTTCTCTCTCTGATAATGCTCTCGTTATTGTTGCGGAGTTGATTTTTTAACAGGGCTTTGTTTTCACTGTGAGAATAAAAAGTGTTGGCAGGGAAGTCAGCGTAGGTCATCACGATGGGTCTGGAGTGGAATGTTGCTGTGCTAGCACTTTTTGGAGGTTGTAAATTTTGGAAATGTTTTGTCCTTGAGCTATGGATTGGGGGGGGCTGGCCTTGGGATGTCACGGAAAGCTGGTTACTCTGTGAGCATTCTGCATGTTTTGTCAACCCGAGAACCGCAGAGCTTCAGACAGGAAACAGCTGAGAGGAAGACAAGAGAGGTATCCAAACAAGGAATGGTCTGGATGGATGAATGAATGAATGAAGCTGCAAATTCCGCGCAACAGCACATAGAGAACAAGCTGCAAAGAAGTCGATGACATTCCCATTCAGCACTTCCTGGTTCGACCTGTTACATTCTCAGTCTGCAATCAGGATGGCCAGGGCTGTCTCCATGGTGATTGCCAATCAATGAGCCTCCTATTTACAAAAGTAGTTCCAGGGATCAGGAATTTCAGCGATGAGGATAGATTGAAGAGGTTGGGACTGTTCTCCTTGGAGAGAAAGGAGATCTGATAGAGGTTTTGAAAATCTAGAAGGGTCTGGACAGTGTAGATAGGGAGAGGCTTGCTTGCAAAAGGATCAAGAATTAGAAAGCACAGATATAAAGTGATTTGCAAAAGAAGCAAATGTGATGCAAGGGAAAAAACCTTTTCATTCAGCAAGGAGTTAGAGGATGGAAAGCGCTACCTAGAGAGAGAGCTGATTATTTGGGTAGAAATAGAGTGCAAGGGTATGGGGAAAAAGCAAGAAATTGGCACAAGGTAATGATGCTCATGCGAAGAGCTGGTGCAGACACTTTGGGCTGAATGGCCTCTATCTACCCTGTAACGCTTCTGAGATTCTGTAAGGCTGGGCATTGGCATTCAGGAGTTGGAACAATGGACTACAATGGACGGCTTGTTTAGTAATCTGAAAAAAAAGGGAGCCTCTAAGGACTAAATCCAGTGTCCAAAGTCCTTCTAGATGGTAGTGGTCGTGGGTTTGGAAGGTGCTGTCTAAGCATCTTTGAATTTTTGCAGTGCGTCTTGTAAATAGTGTGCACTGCTGCTACTGAGCATTGGTGGTGGCGGGAGTGGATGTTTGTGGATGTAGTGCCAGTCAAGCGGGCTGCTTTATCCTAGATGGTGTCAAGGTTCTTGAGTGTTGTTGGAGCTGCATTCATCCAGGGAAATGGGGAGTATTCCATCACACTCCTGACTTGTGCCTTGCAGATGGTGACAGGCAGTGGGAAGTCAGGAGATGCGTTACTCATTGCAATATTCCTCGTCTCTGACTGTTCTTGTAGTCACTGTTTATGGTGAGTCCAGTTGACCTTCTGGTCAATGGTAACCTCCGGGACGTTGATGGTGGGAGATTCAGTGATGGTAACACCATTGACTGTCAAGGGGCAATGGCTAGATTATTGGTGATGGTCATAGCCTGGCATTTGTGTGGCGCGAATGTTACTTGCCATTTGTCAGTCCAAGCCTGGATATCGTCCAGATCTTGTTGCATTTGAACATGGACTGCTTCAGTATCTGAGGAGTTATGAATGGTGCTGGACATTGTGTAGTTATCAGTGAACATCCCCACTTTTGACCTGATGGAGTACAGGTCATTGATGAAGCAGCTGAAGGTGGTTGGGCCTAGGACACTACCCTGAGGAACTCCTGCAGAGATGTCCTGGAGCTGAGATGACTGACCTCCCACAACCGCAACCATCTTCCTATGGGCCAGGTGTGACTTCAACCACTGGAGAGTTTGTCCCCTGATACCCATTGATTCCAGTTTTGCTAGGGCTCCTTGATGCCACACTCAGTCGAATACAGCCTTGATGTCAAGGGCTGTCACTCTCACCTCACCTCTGGAATTCATCTCTTTTGTCCATGTTTGAACCAAGGCTGTGATGAGGTCAGGAGCTGAGTGGCCCTAGCAGAACCTAAACTGGGTATCACTGGGCAGGTGCTGCTTGATAGCGCTGTTGATGACACCTTCCACCACTTTACTGATGATCGAGAGGAGACTGATGGGGCGGTAATTGGCCAGTTTGGATTTGTCCTGCTATTTATGTACAGGACATACCTGGGCAATTTTCCACATTGTTGGGTAGATACCAGTGTTGTAACTGTACTGGAACAGCTTGGCTAGGGGAACAGCAAGTTCTGGAGCACAAGTCTTCAATACTATTGCCGGAATGTTGTCAGGGCCCATAGCCTTTCCAGTATCCAGTGTCTCCAACTGTTTATTGATATCATGTGGAGTGAATGGAATTGGCTGAAGACTGGTATCTTTAATGCTGGGAACCACTGGAAGAGGCCGAGATGGATCATCCACTCGGCACTTCTGGCTGAAGATTGCTGCGAATGCTTCAGCCTTATCTTTTGCATTGATGTGCTGGGCTCTTCCATCATTGAGGATGGGGATATTTGTGGAGCCTCCTCCTCCAGTGAGTTGTTTAATTGTCCACAAGCATTCACGACTGGATGTGGCAGGACTGCAGAGCTTAGATCTCATCCATTGATTGGGGGATTACTTAGCTCTACCTATCACTTGCTGCTTTCGCTGTTTGGTGTGCAAGACGTCCTATTTGGTGGCTTCACCAGGTTGATACCTCATCTTCAGGTAAGCCTGGTGCTGCTCCTGGCATGCCCTCCTGCACTCTCCATTGAACCAGGGTTGATCTCCTGGCTTGATGGTAATGCTGAGTGGGGGATATGCCGGGCCATGAGGTTACAGATTGTGCTGGAGTACAATCCTGCTGCTGTTGATGGCCCACAGCGCCTCATGGATGCCCAATCTTGAGTTGCTAGGTCTGTGCGAAGTCTGTCCCATTTAGCACGGTGATAGTGCCACACAACACAATGGAAGTTATTTTCAACGTGAAGGTGGGACTTCATCGCCACCAGGACTGTGCGATGGTCACTCTTAACCGATACTGTCATGGACAGATGTAACTGCCGCTGGCAGATTGGTAAGGATGAGGTCAAGTATGTTTCTCCCTCTTGTTGGTTCCCTCACCACCTGCCGCAGACCCAGTCTAGCAGCTATGTCCTGTAGGACCCGACCAGCTCGATCCGTAATACTGGTGCCGAGCCACTCTTGGTGGTGGACATTGAAATCCCCCACCCAGAGAATGTTTTGTGCCCTTTCCATCCTCAGTGCTTCCTCTAAGTGTTGTTCAACATTGAGGAGTACTGATTTATCAGCTGAGGGAGGACTGTATGTGGTAATCAGCAGGAGGTTTCCTTGCCCATGTTTAACCTGAAGCCACGAGACTTCATGGGGTCAGGAGTCAATGTTGAGGACTCCCAGGGCAACTCTCAACTATATACCGCTGTGCCGTCATCTCAACTGGGCCTGTCCTGTCAGTGGGACAGGACCCATCCAGGGATGGTGTTAGTGGTGTGTGGGACATTGCCTGTCGGGTATGATTCCATTAGTAAGAGTGTGTCAGGTTGTTGCTTGACTAGTCTGTGAGACAGCTCCCCCAGTTTTAGCACTAACCCCCAGATGTTAATAAGGAGGACTTTGCAGAGTCGACAGGCTGTTTCTGCTGTTTTTCTTATCTGTTGCCCAGGTCAATGCCAGGTGATCGTCCGGTTTCATTTCTTTGAGATTTTGTAGCGATTGGTACAACTGAATGGTTTGCTAGGCCATTTCAGGGGGGAATTGAGAAACAACCACATTGCACTGGGGTCCTGATTCCCCAAAGCCCATCCCATTGTTTATAAGCCATAAGTCAGGAGTGTGATGGAATACTCCCCACTTGCCTGGATGGTGCAGCTCTAACAACACTCAAGAAGCTCGACACCAAACAAGACAAAACAGCTCACTTGATTGGCACCACATTCAGCACCTTCAAAATTCCCTTCCACTGATGCATAACGTATACAAGATGCACTGCATCAGGTCTCCTCAGACAGCACCTTCCAAACCCATTACCACTTCCATCTGGAAGGACAAGGGCAGCATATGCATGGGAACACCACCCCCTGCAAGTTCCCCTCCATGTCACTCACCATCCTGGCTTGGAAATATATCCCTTCAGTACCTCTGGGTCCTAACCCCGGAACTCTCTCCCTAACAGTGTTCTGAGTGTCCCTACACCCCAGAACGCATCAGCTCTTCACCATCCAGGGTGATAAATCCAGAGGAAGAATAAAAATTACATTTGTTCTGTGCTCCGAGGTCTGTCAGGAAGGGAGATGGGAGAAACAATATTGTTTGGAAAGTTAGAAGGCTACAGGAAAACAAAAGGGCAGGCAGTGTCCAAGACCCCAGTGCCTTCACAACATTGCAAATGCAAGTGCTTTCATTTCCAAAGCACTAATCTCAAACTCGGAGTGACCTATTGCAGTCAATGGGGAACTTTTGAAGTCTTCAGCTGTCAGAAAAACAGCAGCAAACCTCCCACCAACAGTAATGAGATCATGACTTTGGAGCTGCTTTGATAATATCAGCTGAGGGCAAAATTCTGACCAGAATGCCTTCTACTATTCTCGGGAAACCTGAGATCGTTGGCACTCACTGGAGAAGGGTAGAAGGGATCAAGGTTTGACATCTCACTCAAAAGGAGGCAGCTCTGACAGAGCAGCCTCCCTCGGTATTGCGTTGATGAATATACCTCGAGCTCAGTCACTGCAGGCTCAGTTTTGGGTCACAATTATGGTCAAAACCAGATTCAGAGTAAGGGATGTCAAAACCTTCCAAAGGGCTTGGCAGTCTGACCAGCTCCTGCTATTAATGAAACGTGCAGATTATTAATAACATATATATATTGCCACTCATAACATGCAGAGAGCCTAAGTCCTGTCAAAACGTAGAAATAATTACTTTTCGCATGACGTGTACGTAGCTGGTTCAGCTGGAACATTCTAGAAATAAATCTATGATTATAAGTTTGAGGTCATTAGCGCATAGTCCGATGCCTATCTCAAACCCTGATTGGACAGTCTGGCGATTATTAAGTATTGTCTCAGATTGGAAAGCAGTTTTGAACCTTTGAAGCTGCTGACTTGAAAGAGAGAATATTGTTAGAGCCTCATGCCAAATTGCAAAGTTTCTTCAGAGAAGGAAGGGTTGCAAGTGGTGCCTTCATGCAAAAGGTAAACGTGCTGATATTTTCAGGGCACTGTGAACAGGCCATGTCTACTTGCCGTTAAACAGAAGGCTGGGAGGTAACCTGATAAATGTCTCAGAGATTCTGAGCAGTTTTGGTCGAGCGGCCACAGAGAATGTCTTCTGTTGTGTGGAACAGTGGAACAAGAGGCCATCAGAACAAGACTGTTGCCAAGAAATCCAGTCAAGCATTCAGAACAAACTTTCTTTATCCAGAGATTGGTGAGAATGTGGAGTTCACTACCATATGGAGTGGTTGGAGAAAAATTGGAGAAAATCAGTGCATTTACTGGAGATCTAGACAAATATTTGAGGGAAAAAGGAATTGAGGGCTATGATGGTGGATTCAGTTGAAGAAAGGTCGGAGGAGGTTCATCAATGCTGGCATGGACTTTTTGGGCGGAATGGCCTATTAGTGTTGTGAAGCCACTATAGTCCTATATAACTCTTGTATTAGTAATTGTTGTGAATGACCTGGCACGTTCTCTGCTGGAATAAGTCTTTTTGTTTTCTGTTTCACCTCTTGTACTGCACTGCCTGAGTTATTGATTTTCACGATATTACCAAGAAGAGTTAACGGGCACACTCCCTCTCTAGACAGCCAGCCCTTTGACTCACACAAGCCGCGTTCCCCCCACCCAGGGCGATCTTCAAACCCAAACTGAGCATTGTGTGACCCCCGCCCCCCAATTTCCTATTTCTGCTTTAATCAGCTTGGAAGGGGTCTTGCACTGTGACCCCTGACCTTTCGACTTAGCTTCTCAACTTTTGTTTCTTTTTCAAAAAACATCAAAGGGGTGTTCGTTCTCTCTCATGTTCTCTCCCCAGTTAATGACAGTAAAGACGGCTGGTCACCTTGGTCTGAGTGGACAGAATGTTCTGTATCATGTGGCACTGGAACACAGCAACGGGGACGGTCATGTGATCCCACGAGCAGTCGCTGTGAGGGCCCCTCCATCCAGACAAAATCCTGCCAGTCGGCAGAATGTGACAATCGGAGTAAGTCTGACTCGCTGTGCGTGGGTGGGATGGGATTTCTTGGATACCACACAATCAGCCTGGCTGTAATGGCCAATGACCTGGTGCAGGGTTTGCTGCTGGGCTCCCCCTTTCTCAGTTATTGTTAAATACCTTCATGGGATGCAGCCATCATTTATAGCCCCAGAGGGCAGATAGGAGTCATGTTGCTGTGGGTCTAGAGTCCATAGTCACACACAGGTCAGATATCCTTCTTTAAAGGTCATTATCATCAATGTTTGCTGTCAATTTAGATTCCAGGTTGTGACTAAATTCAGATTCCACCATCTTCCAGGGCTGGGATTTGAACCCAGCTCCTCAGAGCATTAGCCTGGGGGCTGTGGAATGCTAGCCTAGTGACGTTACCACTATGCCAGGTTCTCCCCTAGTACTTTCCTGTGATGTATCAGACACCAGTGTCAACTGGGTAGCCTGTGTGAGAGCGTTGACTGGGAAAGGCCTAATGGTACACACTAGTGTGACTTCTTCAGTGTGACCCCTATCACCAACAGCTGAAGTTTGAACACGCAGTTCCCCTCTAGGTCAGACCTATTGTAACCCAGGTCCAGGATAGCAGAGGGCTGGGGACGGAGTACATCAGGGTCCAAGAGCCAGGGTCCTAGGGTTTGGGTAAAGGGCAGGGACCCAGGCCTAAAGGATTACCAGGTTCAGACTTGAGTCCCTGCCCTGATCCTAATGTCAGATACCATCTGGAATGTCCAGCTTTAATCTTTTACTTGGAGTTGTGGTGGGGGGTGTGGTTAGGTGGGGATGGAGGAAGGTTGGAATGTAGTCACCTGAACACAATCCACCCAACAAATGTACTTCGTTGGCATCAGTGATTAGAAAAATTCTGCTCCCACAGAAATCGCACCTGATGCCTCATTGGCTCCTGTCTCCATGGGAACAGAGATGTGATAACTTATCAAATGCCTTCTGGGAAACTAAATACAGTACATCTACAGGGCTCCCCTCTCAGCACATGTTACTCCTTCAAAGAACTCAAATAAATTGGCGAAGAGTTTAATGCCCATCCCTAACTACCCTAGAGAAGGTGATAGTACCTGCAGCCTGGTGAAAATAAGATCATTGAGCTGTCAGGGAGGAGTTCCAGGACTTTTACTCTGTGACGATGAAGAATCAGTGGTACAGGCCAGATCAAGGCAATTTATCAGACCGAAAAACAGAGGAGCAGAAGTAGGCCATTTGAGTCTGCTCTGCCATTCAATGAGATAATGGCTGTCTCAACTCCACTTTCCTGCCTTCTCCCCATTAGCCTAGATTTTGTAATGATTTAGAAGTCTGTTCTATCTCAGCCTTGAATGTACTCAGTATCCCAGACTTTGATACGTGCTGTGGGTGTCTCAATCTGCTTCTCACTGCCATATATGTAAAATAAATACCTGGGGAGTCTTGATTATCTTCGGTTACATGCATCAGTTGATCTGTTGTCAGTTTGGGGCAGGGCTGCTATACCTCACCGTCTCATTCCCCCTCCATGCTGACGTGAGCGTTTGTGTCTTTAGTTCGTCAGGATGGTGGTTGGAGCCACTGGTCTCCCTGGTCGCCGTGTTCGGTCACCTGTGGTGACGGCATTACCACCCGCATCCGACTCTGTAATTCGCCGGTGCCACAGCTCGATGGCCAGGATTGCCAGGGAAACGGACGGGAGACAAAACAATGTATGAAAGCTCCATGCCCCAGTAAGTTCATTTGTGCAGCTACTTAGCTGCTATCTCTGTGTGTGTCTGCTTTGAGCTAAAGTTGCTTATGGTTTCAGCTAATGGCCTGGCAGTTAATCCACGATGTATCATGACTGTGTTATTAAGCTGTTCTTAGCTACGAACAAGGTGTGAAAAAGCAGACACTGCCATGTTCCTGGTGCTACACTCTCTAGGAAAGATGTCTAGGCCTGGGAGAGGGTGCAGAGGAGATTTATCAGTGTGGTGTCCATGCTATGGGAGCCAGAGAGAGGCTGGAAAAGGAAGAAGTTGTCCCTAGAGCGCAGAAGGTTAATTGGGGGTTTTATTCAAAATCCTGAGGTTTTTCCTAGAGAAAGGAAAATCACTTGACTCCAACAGAGGGTCAGAAACAGGCACAATTTAATTCAAACAATGAAAGAAACAGGTGGGAGATTTTTTTTTTAATGCAGCAAGTTATTGCGATCTGGAATGAACTTTCTGAGAGAGTGAAGGAAGCAGATTCAGTGATGACTTTCAGTAGGGAATGGATTCATAATCAAAGGGTAAATATTGTAGCACTGTGGGGAACAAGCAGGGGAGTGAAACTAAATGGAAAATCCCTCCAACAGCCAGCACTAGCCCAATGGGGCTGAATGGCCTCTTCCTTTTCTGGAACGTTCTATGTTTCCGTGACGGAAAATGGTGGGAATGCATGATGGCAGATCTGTCAACATCTGAGAAGAGACCAGATTAAACTTTTGTGCAGGGTTCTACTTCGATAAGAAAGGACAGAATGAGGAGACAGTCCTAGACAGGTCCAGGGTAGCTGAAGATAATATCGCTCATCTCTTCTTGCTTGTTCCACATTGCATCCAGGTACGGTTAGATGCATCCAAAGTCATCTTCGCTGCCAGGGAGATTGTTCCAGTTTTTTGACTTCAGATTTTGGAGTAACCTTTTCATTCGTTTAAAGTTTTGTGATCAGGAAATGGGACCCGTTATGAACCCACAGGAGATTCTATTGGAGGAAATCAGCAGAGCAGTGGGCTCCCTTCCCCGACTTGGTTCCTGTACTACTGAGGGGCGCTAGAAAAATGGTTGGGACCCAATTTTCTGGGGCCGTCTGTCCATGTCACGCTTTCTGTCCCCACACACCAGGCCTTCAGGTGAAAGGCTTCACCAGCCACTCCTCAGATCGCCAGCTCACTAACTGACCGACTGCCTTGTTCCTTCACAGTTGACGGTAACTGGAGCCCCTGGTCCCCGTGGTCAGTCTGTACAGCCACATGTGGCGGGGGATTGCACGAGCGCAAAAGGACCTGCAATAACCCCGTACCCAAGTACGGAGGGAAGAAGTGCCTGGGGGATGCCAAGGACACTAAAATATGTAACAATGACCTCTGCCCAATCGGTAGGTGGAAGCACGTTGGAACTGATTTTAGTTTTTGGAAGGCGTGCGGCTATTTTCTTGTACCATTTAACTGCATTTATTCAAAGATGTTCATTCCCTGTCTGCTTCTGGACCTTGATTCACTTGCTCAGCCACTTTTTAAGATGAGTCGAGGGTCAGTCACACTGGATTGGAGCCATATATGGGCCAGATTTCTTTCCCCAGACGACGTTGGTAAACCCATAAGGTTTTCTAACAATCTGATCCAGCTCAGTTGATGAAATGTCTCATGTCTAATGTCACAAGCGTTTCTCCCTTTCTGTTGCTTTTTGCATGGTTTTATTGAAATAAATCTCACCCCGTATAGAAAGCAAGCAATCATATTTTGTAACATTGTCATAGATGATCACTAAGTTAAAAGATCATGTGCACAATGCTAAAAGGTTGTGAAGATTTCAGTCTAAAAGTAGTTACAAAATGCAGTTCTCTTCCATTTATGCAGCAGCTTTGGGAAGTGAGCCTCACTGTCCAGTTTCCCTGAAGTCCATAAGTCATTTGTTGTTGGGTTGAGTCCACTCAATTCTCAAATACTATCTATTGACAGACGGATGCCTGTCCAATCCATGCTTCGCTGGGGTGGAGTGCAGCAGTTCCCCAGATGGCTCTTGGGATTGTGGGCCATGTCCTCCTGGTTACCGGGGCAACGGGACATTCTGCGAGGACATCAATGAGGTATGAGGACGTCAGGGAAGTGGTTGGGATTCTAGGTGTGGCAGGCCAGAGATCGCCCGTCATTCTGTTGATTTTTTTTTGCCTTTCTGTTCCAGTGTGAAGAAGTCTCTGATGTTTGCCACCAAGTGAACGGAGTTCAGCGATGTGTCAATACGGAGCCCGGGTTTCACTGTCTACCCTGCCCACCGCGTTACCGAGGGAACCAACCATTTGGTCTGGGAATCGAAGCCGCCAAGACCGACAAGCAAGTAAGGAGGACACAAATAGGGACCGTTAAGAATGAAATAAATCTTCAGTTTTGCAGCCAAATAGATTAATGTGGCCTAGAAATTAGATTGGATTTTCAGGCACCAGGCAGCCAAGAAAGTTCACAAAATGGAGGGCATTTGCATTTCCAACAGAGTGGGGGTCTCCCACCCTTATTGAGCAAGGACAAGCAAGCTGGGCAACCACTAGGTTTGACCCCCAAGGTCACCATGCTCTGCGTGCTTTGGTCTGAGCAATGTGCCCTATCCTCCCTGAAGTGCGTGTGTACATGGCTCTGTATTTCTAACATCATTAGTTAGTTCTCTATTGCAGTCAAATGTTTGGAATGCAGATTGCGTGTCATATCAGACGGTTTTGGATTCAAAACTCAAGCCCAAATTTACTGAGCCTTGATCATGATATGGATACAGTTAATACGAACATCTTAAAATGAAAATGAAAAACACACAGATAGGTTCATGGTTCTTTGACCAGTGCAATATCAGCAGGCACAAACAGGAACTCTCTCTCAATGTGTTAGCCTTGGTCTAGTGGTTGCAGTTTTCAGGCTGAAGGTCCTAACCTCAAATTCCACTGTGGAGATGTGGTCCATACTGCACTCTGCAGTAGTCAAAGAATGCTGTACTATTGGAAGGGCTGTGTTTCAGATGGGATATTAAAACTGAGGCTTCTCAGGTGAACCTAAAAGACCCTTTCAGCAGTACTTATAGGAATTGCAGGGGTTTTCTTCCTGATGTCCTGACCAATATTTATATCCATCAACCAGTATTTCAAAAGCAGATTATCTGGTCATATTGTTGTTTGTGGGAGCTTGCTGTGTACAAGATGGCTGCCACATTTGTCGCATTACAACAATGGCTTCAAAAAGTACTTGACTGACTGTGAAATTCTTTGGAACATGCTGAGCCGAGGATAAGTGCGACATAAGCACTACTCCTTTCTTTCAGTCTTTACTCAATAGATATATATCATGTCTGATGGAAACTAATTTCTCACTACGCCTCTGGCTTTGTACATGGTTGGTTGGGAATAGGATGACAGCAGGATGGTGTAGGTTTGTTAGGCCTTCCTATGGAGTTGAACCCTGGTGGAAATTGGTAACTTCAGGAGGCAAGCACTGGAATTCCCTCCATGAACTGCTCCACTTCTCGTCCTCATTCTGAGTTTGGGAAGCTCCACAAACCTTACCTCCTTGATCCGTTGGCTGGTCCCCTTTGTCCTAATATCGCCCTTACGTGGATCAGTGTTGGGTTTTTGGCTGATGTCGCTCCTGTGAAGTGCCTAAGGGGGACATTGTACTTGCTCAATGGCTCGATACAGATTGTGGCTGTTACTGTGACCCTCCTGTGTTTGTTCCCGCAGGTGTGTGAGCCCCATAACCCATGTAAGGACAAGTCCCACAACTGCCACAAGTACGCCAGGTGTATCTACCTGGACCTCTTCAGTGAGCCGCTGTACAGGTGTGATTGTCGGATCGGGTATGCTGGGGATGGCATTATTTGTGGAGAAGATTCTGACTTAGATGGCTGGCCCAATGAAGAGCTGGCTTGCACAGCCAATGCCACTTACCACTGTAATAAGGTAAGGACATGGATAACACAGGCCATTCATCACACAAGAGGTGGGTGTCAATAAACAAGCAGAATGGTGCTCCTGTGAATTTCGATATCGATCAGTGTGCTCAGGTGTACCTACTTTGGAAGGAACAATAAGGTAGTCACCTCCTTGAAGGATAAGGATCTAATATTGTAGATACATCAGTGTTTAGAGCACACATTTCTCTTGTCGTGTCTGTGCCAGGTAACAAAGATCTGACTATACTAATCCCATTTTCAAGCTTATTTTCTTCCCCAGCTCTTGACCCATAGCCCCAACATTGTGGCAACATGATTGAACACCTAAACACTGCTTAAATACTATGAGAGTTTGTGACTCAACCATCTTTTTCAGGCACTGAGTTTCAGACTCTTCCTCCACCCTCTGGGTGAAGGAAAATTCTCTTCAACTCTCCTGTTAACCTTCCATTTCTTAGTTTAAATCAATGTCCCCTGGTCCCTCAATTAATGGGAAACCGTTGATAGGGGAAGAAAAGATCCGGGGATATAGATATGCAAATGATTACGAGTTCCAGATAGGGTAAAAAGGACCATTCAAAAGTGCAAACAAAATTCTTTGGTTCATTTCTGGGCGATATAGAATTGAGAAGTGTAGTTATGTTGGACTTGTATCTAATTTTGCCTCAACTGCATACAGAGCACTTTGCAGAGTTCTGGCCTCCATAACATGAGAGGGAAGTAGAGAACCTGGAGAAAATGCAAAGATGGTTTGTAAACTTGATGTCAGAACTGAGAGGTTATAAATGTCAGGAGAAAGTGAACAGGCTGCAGCTTATTTCCCTGCAAGAAAGTTGAGGAGTGATCTCAGAGAGGTGTTAAAATTCTGAAGAAGCTTGATAGGATAGATATTGAGAAGATGTCTCAATGTGTGAGGGTGATCAGGGCTTGCAGTTATAGATAGGATAATCACTTGTAAATCCTATCAGGAATTCAGGAAAATATTCAGAAAGTGGTTAGAATGTGGAGCGAGCCACCACAAGGCACAATTGAAGGAATTAGAAATTTTTTTAAATTATTCGTTCATGGGATATGGGCGTCACTGGCTGGGTCACCATTTATTGCCCATCCCTAACTGCGAATGAGAAGGTGGTGGTAAGCTGTCTTCATGAGCTACTGCAGCCCATGTGGTGTAGGGAAACCCACAATGCAATTTCCAATGACAGTCAAAGGAACGGCGATATATTTCCAGGTCAGGATAGTGAGTGGCTTGGAGGGGGACTTGAAGGGGGTGGTGTTCCTATGTATCTGCTGCTCTTGTCCTTCTAGATGGAAGTGGTCGTGTGTTTGGAAGGTGCTGTCTGAGGACCTTTTTGGTGAATTTCTGCAGTGCATCTTGTAGATAGTACACACTGCTGCTACTAAGCGTCGGTGATGGAGGGAGTGGATGCTTGTGGATGTAGTGCCAGTCAGGTGAGCTGCTTTATCTTGGATGGTGTCAAGCTTCTTGAGTGTTGTTGGAGCTGCACCCATCCAGGCAAATTCCATCACACTCCTGACTTGTGCCTCGCAGATGATGGACAGGTTTTAGGAAGCCAGGAAGTTACTCACTACAAGATTCCAGCCTCTGACCTGCTTGTGTAAAGTAGATACATGTAAGGTGAAGGTAAGTAAAAGACCTAAAGGAGAAAAGAATAGAAGGAAATATTAATGGGTCTCAATGAAGATGGGTCTGGGGAGAAGCTTGTCTGGTGCAGAAACACCAGGGAGGACCAGTCGTGCTGAATGGCCTCCTCTTGTATTTAAAACTTTGCGCCAGAGCATTAGAATGTCAGACACAGAAATTACACACACAGCAATCCAAGATGGTGCAGCCAGTCAAACAATATAACACCAACGCTCTTTGGCCAATGATACGTCATGTGGTCAGCATTCGAATCAATGTGGCACTTAGTGTGTATTTTGGAATTGTAATCACAGTTTCATCTCGGGGTCAGGCATTAACAATGAGACATGCTGACTTGACAGTGAACGTTTTTCACTGACGCACAGACATGCACTTAGCCTGTGACCCTGACCCAACTTCATGTGGTACAATTCCAAAGAAGATCATTTATCTTTTTCTTTTAAACAAATCATCCGACGGACTTGTTTCTAGAGGGAAAATGAACTGAGCCTGGAGCTGGAAAGCTAGAAAGAGAATCCACCATCCCTTAGTTATCATGGGGATGAGAATAGGCTTGAAATATGTTCCTCATTTGAATGAAGAGTTTTGACCCCAGCTGTGTCGCTGGAGAATCTCACAGTCAGCTCACAAATCCTCCCCCAGGCAGAAATCTTACACCTAACAGTTACGTCAGAAAAAGCAAATCTGATACACAAGCATGTTTTGAAGAAAAATGTTCCCCACTCAATCTTTCACCTGTTAGTGATTATGATTCTCTCTCTCTCACTTTCTCCCTCTACCTCTCTCACTTTGTTCCTTTATCTCTCGTCTGCCATCTCCCTCACTTCATCTCTCTTGCTGTCCCTCCTTTTTAGCACGTTCTCTCTCAGTTCATCAGATTGTCAATATCTCTTCTTTTTTCATTGTCTCCTTTGCTTCTAACTGTCTCTCACTGATTTCACCTCTGTCCTTTATTGTCACTGTAACTGCCTCTCTGGTGCTCTGTGTCTCACTCCATATCTCTCACTGACTCCTCCTCTGTCCATCTCTCAACTTCTCTTTTGCAAGCTTTGAATTTATTCAAGCATGTTTAACTAATGTTGACAGTGTTGCCAGCAAGATTGTAGGGTGGCACAGTGGGTCAGTGGTTAGCACTGCTGCCTCACAGCACCAGGGACTTGGGTTCGATTCCTAACCTTGGGCAACTGTCTGTGTGGAGTTTGCGTGTTGTCTCTGTGGGTTTCCTCCCACAGCCCAAGATTATGGGGGTGGGATGCTTTTTGGAGGGTCGATGCAGACTTGATGCGTAAAATGGCCTCTTTCTGCACAGTAGGGATTCAATGATGACGAATTCTATTCTTTCCATTTTAGTGCACTGTAGCGACCTTAGACTTTGACGTTCTTACATATGAATTCTGTCTGTGTCTGTGCGAGTGAATATGACAGAGATTAGACCTGATTTTTCCAGTTCCAACTCCAATTCCAGCCTAAGAACACTGACCTCCCCCGAGTGTTAGATTTCTGTGAACTCTGCCCTAAGCATAGTTTCTTCCAGATTAAACATTAAAATTTGGAAGTGAAAAGCTGGGATGACATCCTTTAGTGAAGTGAATCTGCCCATACTCGCCCTCTCTGCATATATGTGTGGCTCTGGATACACTGCGAGGTGGGAGCCTGATCTGCCACTCAGTTGTATCCAGGGCTACCAGGGATGGGCAATAAATGCCAGTCTTGCCAGCGAGGCTAATGTTGCCAACGGTGACTTTAAAAGTAAAACCAATCTGTTGGTGGTCATCACCGACTGCCTCACGCTAATGGGTTTAGTTGTTAGAAAACAGCTTTAAACTCTGAACTTTAATATACTGCATTTTGACGGACACCAGCTGAGGAAGAAAGAGTTGGAAGGAAAGGATTCACAATTGTGAAGATCTGCAGAAAATAAATACAGTTGACCTATTTCCTAGAGAATCAGAAATGGCTGTGTTGTTGGATTGATAAAGTGCCACATTTTCATGCCTGAGGAAGGAGGGATCTCTGTCCTGTATTCTGATGAATGAGCTGTCGCTGTGTCTTGAGCTAGAACCCCCTCCAGTTGAGTCAGTTAGCGCTGCAGATAATGGCAGAAATAGTCATCCATTCAGATGTCGTCAATGCTGGGAAACTTTTCAAAGTAGGCCACACAGATAAAGAAAACTCTTGCAATAAGTGGTTCCCAAGGCACTGTTTTTGTTTTCAAATAAAAAAGGAAGTATTTCTCACAGAACTTACTGGAACAGTTTTCTCACAGAACTTACTGGAACAGTTTGGGCAAATCAGAAAGCTGGCCTCCAGGACTTGGATAACATAAAACGTGGGTTCGGGCAATTTCCCAACTGCCTTTGAAGAGGAACCACGTCCCTCTTGACCAAGGATTGTGCCTGTGAATACAGCTGCAGGCCCCTGACGTTCTGGTAACTTCCTCTTTGCTTTAATCCCGCAAACAGGATAACTGCCCTCACCTGCCCAATTCTGGACAAGAGGACTTTGACAGGGATGGCGTGGGTGACGCCTGCGACAAAGACGACGACAACGATGGCAGAAACGACGAGAGGGTGAGTTCCGGAACCTTCTTTTCGCCCATCGCAACGAAATGCCTCGTCCCGCGTGACTTGAATCTGTGAGGGTAATCCTTCTACGGTTTTCCCCTCCCCCTTTTTTTCTCCCTCTTGTGCTTCCAGGACAATTGCCCTCTCCTCTACAACCCTCAGCAGTTTGATTACGACAAGGACGATGTGGGCGATCGATGTGACAACTGTCCTTACGACCACAACCCAGCACAGATCGACACAGACGGCGATGGCGAAGGTGACGCTTGCTCGGTTGACATCGACGGAGACGGTGAGTGTGCCGAGGACCGGGGCCAGCTCACTTCCCTGCCAGGAGAGTGAGTGGTGAGAGGGTTCTTGCTCCCAGGGCAACCCTTTGGAAATTGCTCCCTCTAAGGGCTGTGGTCCAAATAACGAAGGAATCCGTACCATCCAGGAGGTTTGCCGTAGAAAGAAAAAGGCCAATCCATTTGAGTTTTCCTTAGCGCGGTGGGTGTACAGGATATTTTCCCACTTACGTGGGAAATTAACATCAGGGCCAATGAGTGTCAGTCTCTAATATTCCCACCAGGGAATTTGGGAGCTCCTCCTTAACCCAGGATGGTTTGTGATAAGGAGTAGCGAAGGCAAATTGCTTCGATGCCTTTAAAGAGAAGCTGGATAAGTGCGTGAGGGAGAGAGGATTGGATAGAGTTATTTGAAGTAGGCTGGCAGGCAACTTGTTTGGAGCAAACTCGCAGGGTATCAATGAACTGGGCTGAATGACAAGTGTCTGTGCTGTGTAATTCACAGAATCCCTACGGTGTGGAAACAGGCCCTTCGGCCCAACAAGTCCGTACCGAAATTGGGCTTATTCTCCTTGGAGCATAAAGTTACATTAAAACCCGAAGCTGATTTGATCATTACATTGATGTGTTCCATTGTTGCTGCCTTTTAACTATCTTGTTCCAACGTCAACAGATATCCTGAATGAGAATGACAACTGCCCTACTGTTTATAACACTGATCAGAGGGACACTGATCAGGATGGGGTTGGAGACATGTGTGATAACTGTCCCCTTATGCATAACCCTGACCAGGTAAGAAGAACACATGACACTGTTGTGCCTAGATTGGAAGGGGGTGTCTTTTTACAGTGGCGTGTCTATTGGCAGGGAGGTATTGATTGGCAGGGAGGTACCGATTGGCACTGGGGTGTCGATTGGCAGGGAGGTATCGATTGGCAGGGAGGTGTTGATTGGCACTGGGATGTCTGTTGGCAGTCTGTGGTTGTGGGCAGTGTACTGGGTAGCAGCAATGACTTGGCTGAGAACAAGCTCCCTTCAGTGTTTAACAAGGTTGACTTGAAATTCTTAGTTGTGCTCACTCTGCTTTCCCTCAACATGTCACTAGGCTTGGTCCTTGTTGCCTTTGGCATCGAGCTGTGTGCTGCAATTTGGCTGCTGCATTTTGTACATTACACCAGTGATCACACCACAGAGAAAGCGCTTCATTGGCTGTGTAGTGCTTTGGTGTGTACTTAGTTATAAATTACGGGATGTGGATGTCGCTGGCTAGGCCAACATTTATTGCCCATCCCAGAGGGCTATTAAGAGCCAACCACATCGGTATGGGTCTGGAGTCACACGTAGGCCAGACAAAATAAGGATGGCAGATTTCCTTCTCCAAAGGAGAAACCAGATAGATTTTTACGACAGTCGATCATAAAACTGACATGAGACTGGCTTTTTAAAAAGAGTTTAATTCAGACTTCACCATCTGCAATGCTGGGATTTGAACACTTGTCACCAGAGCATTAGCCTAAGGATCTGGATTACCACCCTGCCACCACCTAATAGGCAGTGCTTTCCTTTATGCATGACTCCAGTCCCCCACTTCATGATGGGCTCACAGCGCAAGTACGATGTGGGGTGCTGGGGGCACCAGATACTGGCATATGATCAATGCTCCCATCTCAAGAACAGCTAATCTGATTTACTGCTAACCCAGAGCCCTTCACTCACTCTGGTTGCTTGGTGCTTCAGACGACTCTGAAGTTGTGAAAGGCACTATATAAACGCAAGCCTGTCTTGTTTGTGTCATCAACATCTTTCATGCGATGTTGCCCTGCAGGAAGACTCCGATTCTGACCTAGTGGGTGATCAGTGTGATGACAATCAGGACATCGATGAGGATGGACACCAGAACAACCTGGACAACTGCCCATACATCGCCAATTCTAACCAGGCTGACCACGACAAGGATGGGCAAGGAGATGCCTGCGACCCTGATGATGACAATGATGGCATCCCCGATGGGAGGGACAACTGTCGTCTTGTCCCCAACCCTGACCAACTCGACGCTGATGGTGAGGGTTCCTCTTCACTGATCTGCTAACGGACCCAGTGATGGTTTCAGGAATGGTGCTGGTGGAAGACAATTAATGCACTGATACTATAGAAATGGGGAAACTAGAGGCAGGAGTGGGCCATTTGGCCCTTTTTAGGTCTGCTCTGCTGATCCTCGATCTCAACGCCATATTCCTCCTTGATGCCTTTAATATCCAAAAATTTAACAATCTCTTCCTTTAATATACACAGTGACCCAGCCTCTACAGCACCAAATTCCATAGGTTGACTACACTCTTGGGTGGAGAGATGTTTCCTTAGGTCAGTTCTAAATGACGTCGTACTCTGTAATCTGAGACTACGTTCCCTGGTTCAATACTCCCCAAGGTCCTGTATAACTGCAGTGAGACATCCCTACTTCTGAACTCAAATCCTCCTGCAATGAAGGCCAATATACCACTTAGTTTCCCAACAGCTCGCTGTACCTGCCTGCCTGCTTGAAATTACTGGTGTTCAAGGATGTCAGATCCCTTCATATATCCACACTTCCCAATATATATCACCATTTAAGTAATACCCTTCCACATTATGCTGCATCTGCCATGTGTTTCCCCACACACTCAACTTGTCTAGATTGTCCTGAAGCCTCCTGCATTCTCCTCACAAAGACAGGAAGCAAAATAAACACCCATTTCAGGGGTAGACTGCCTTAAAGATGCAAATCAGGATTCTACCTTGTAGGTGAGCTCCAAATTGATCTAACGAATACTGTGTCTGGGCATGTATGAAGAAGGTGGGTGGGAATTGAGTAAAACAAGCTTTGTATGAGGCCATTTGGCCCATCGTATCAGTGTTGGCTTTTTGACAGAGCTTTCCAGTTAGTCCCACTCACCTGTTCTTTCCCCACAATGCTGCATTGTTTTCATCTACAAGTATTTATCCAGTGCTTGCTTGAAAGTTATTTCTGAATCTGTTTCCGCTGCCCATTGAGATAACATGTCCTTGATCAGAAATCCTTCCGTTTAGAAAATTTTCCATTGGCCAGATAATCGTAGATATGAGTTGTGCATCGGGATCATTTGGATCATTCAGGGTCTGAGGGAATTGCCTGGGAAACTGAAGATTCCACCGTGCAGTTCCCTTACGCCCAGGACCCTCCAGAAGTATCCATTTTAAATCCGAGAATCCGGGATTTCCTACTGCTGTTAAGTTGGTTGTTATGCAGGAATAGTTAAACAATTAAATACCTAGTCTGGCTTCTGAGTAACTATTAAACTGAAATACCACCTTGCCCCACTCACCACCCATTTACACCCCCACCAGACCCCTGGCATCTCCCAGACACCCCATTTTCTCCACCCGGGAACTGATATCCCCTCGACCAGCTCCGAGAATCCCCACTCCTCCAGGGCCCTGACACTCCACCCTCTTCCCTCCCAAAAACCTGCTCTCCCCTCGTATTGGTATCTCCCACCTACTCCTACCTACTCCAAACCATCATTTACCTGGCCCCTTGCCCACCTGGCATCCTACCCACCTTCTGTCCTGGACCCCTACCCACCTGGACCCCTACCCAGCTTGTGCACTGTCCCACACCCATCTTGCGCCCTGGCCCCCTACCCACCTGGATAGAATAGAATTGTACAACACAGAAACAGACTGTCCAGTCCAACCTGTCCATGCTGACCAGATATCCTAAATTAATCTAGTCCCATTTGCCAGCATTTGGCCCATATGCCTCTAAACACTTCCCATTCATATACCCATCCAGATGCCTTTAAGATGCTGTAATTGTACCAACCTCCGCCATTTCCTCTGGTAGCTCGTTCTGTACATGCACCACCCTCTGTGAAAAGTTGCCCCTTAGTTCCTTTCTTAAATCTCAGGTGAGCTTAAACCTATGCCCTCTAGTTTAGGACTCCCCCAACCCTGGGAAAAGACCTTGTCTATTTAGCCTATCCATGCCCCTCATGATTTTATAAACCTCTATAAAGTCAGCTCAGCCTCCGATGCTCCAGCGAAAATAGCCCCGGCCTATTCAACCTCTTCCTATAGCTCAAACCCTCCAAACGTGGCAACATCCTTGTAAATCTTTTTTAAACCCTTTCAATTTTCACAACATCCTTCCTACAGCAGGGAGACCAGAATTGCATGTAGTATTCCAATAGTGGCCTAACCAATGTCCTGTACAGCCGCAACATGACCCTCCCAACTCCTATACTCAATGCACTGACCAATAAAGGCAAGCGTACCAAATACCTTCTTCACTATCCTATATATCTGCGACTCCACTTCCAAGGAACTGTGAACCTGCACTCCAAGTTCTCTTTGTTCAGCAACACTCCCCAGGACCTTACCATTGAGTGTATAAGTCCTGCCCTGATTTGACTTTCCAAAATGCAGCACCTCACATTTATCTAAATTAAACTCCATCTGCCACTCCTCGGCCCATTGGCCCATCTGATCAAGATCCTGTTGTACTCTGAGGTAACCTTCTTCGCTGTCCACTACATCTCCAAGCTTTGTGTCATCTCCAGACTTACTAACCATACCTCCTATGTTCACATCCGAATCACTTTTATATAAATGGCTTCAATAACCAAATACAGTAACTGACTGCTGTGATGTGAAATAGTGGGCCATACCTCGCCTTCCCCTGACTGTTCTGCATGGTGAGCGATCTGTCAGATTTAATGTTTCTGAAGGTGCCCTGATCGGAATCTCTTGTCAGAAACTCGGAGTATTTGCTGAATGTAACATGTCAGGAATACAATCACCACTCCTTAGAGAATCCTGCCCAGTTTTCTCAGCTGACCACTTGCCAATTCCCTGAAATCTGCCCCCTCGAGTGAAAGCAGCACCTCCCTGTCTCCTCTAACAGAATACTCTTGGGGGTTGCAGAAGTTAACTGCTTTTGAATGTTCCTGGCAGGTGACGGCAGAGGGGATGCGTGTAAGGATGACTTTGACAACGACAGCATCCCGGACATTTACGATGTGTGTCCCGAGAACAGTGCCATTAGCCAGACTGACCTGAGGAAATTCCAGATGGTTCACCTTGACCCGAAGGGAACAACGCAGATTGATCCGAACTGGGTGGTGCGTAACCAAGGCAAGGAGCTGCTACAGACAGCCAACTCTGACCCAGGCCTGGCCGTTGGTAAGCAGCAATGAGACCCCAGAGCCAGTCTGAGATGGTGTCAGGTGCCTACTACCTTGTGGTGCTGAGGCCTGAGGCCTGTCTCATTCACTTTGTATGTGCCAAGGTGACTGGGCAGCACATGGTTGGTAGAATATTGTGTAGTATTAGTCATGCAAGACACATGAAGGCTGTGGAATGCAAACTCATTTACAATGCTTCTAGTGAGGCAGTTGATGGAGCTAAGCACTAATTTCCAAGTTAATATTAGCAATGAATACCAAAAGAAAGGCCTACTGAACATTTTCCAGGGCAGAGTTTGTTTTTGTCCTGACCCTTCCCTCCCTCCCACCTACACCCTTGTGAGACTCTCTCTCCTTATGCAGGAAAAGCCATTAAAAGGTTCTTAGTTATCTGGGGCTGTGTTCTATTTGCTAACACCACCCTCATGTTTTATCGAGCACCAGTCCCCCACCCTCCTCACACTCCTTGCGGCTCAGTACTAAGTGTGTTTTCGGAGATTTTGACTCCCAAACACCTAAACTCAGTGATTCACCTGGGTGCTGACATTTGCTGGAAGCACATTGCATTGAACTACACTTGTGTTGTGAGATGTGGTTGATATCTTCAGATAAATCATCTCCCTACTGCAGCCCGACCTGAGCTCTGTGCGTGTGTGTGCATGAAGTCTCTGATAAGGTGGTTACTGACAAAATGTCGAGTGGAAATTCCCCCACCCTCCACAACCCAAATTTTGAGCCACTCCATGGAGTACCTGCCCTGTGTGGTGTAACAGTTTCAGGAGGTGCCTCCCTGCCACCTTTACAAGGAATGGGTGATAAACACCAACCATAGCTTGGCAATGAGTAAGCAGGAGTGTTGAGCTGTAGTGAGATGATCTGTACGGCCTCCTGAATTGGGAATGCCCTGAAGGGAAACCTCCCTCTTGCTAATCCACAGGCTTCGACAAGTTCAACGCTATCGACTTCAGCGGCACCTTCTACGTCAACACGGACCGCGATGATGACTATGCCGGGTTTGTGTTCGGTTACCAGTCCAGCAGCCGGTTTTATGTGGTGATGTGGAAGCAGGTCACCCAGACCTACTGGGAGGAGAAGCCATCCAGGGCTCACGGTTACGCTGGCGTTTCCCTGAAGGTGGTGAACTCCACCACAGGTCGCGGAGAGCACCTGCGTAATGCGCTGTGGCACACCGGCAACACCCCCGGCCAGGTAAGGACCGCACAGGGACGTTAGACTGTCACCATCAGACTCGTGCCTCCCTTTACACACCAGCTCTGCCTGAGCAGGAAATTGCTTTGCATTGAATGTACAGAAAGAGGTCATTAGGCCCCTTGGGCCCACCTCTGTGGCTGTCCCTACACCATACAGACTGCAGCAAAAAGGGAACTCCCTACCATCTTCAGGGCACACAGGAACGGACGATAAATACTGGCCTGGTGATGCCAACTTCCTGTGAAAGAGTCATAACAAAAACAGGTCTTTATGCACAACACGAGCACCTTTCCACCTTGCAGCAGCTAATCCTGTCTACATATCCTTCCATTCTGTTCCTTCACCAACTCACATACCACTGACCTCACTGTCTCCCTGGTGGCTGTGGTTCCATCTTTCAGTTATGCTCTGTGACTGTGTTTCTCCTGAATTCCTCTTTGGGTTTATTGTTTATTGAGACCCTTGGTTTCAAATTTCTCCACAAGTCTGCTTGACCCCAAGCAAACCACTTTCAGGCCACCCTTCAATATTCCCATTGGTGAAGGAAAGAGGCTCGGTTCATTGGTCAGGGCCAATTCTGGGAAGTTTGTGAGCAGCGTTTGCTTCATGTGACTATTTCCTGGTCTTTGTCCATAAATCAAACTCTCAGGGAATGTGAATGGCAGGCAGGCTCACTGAAGGACTACAAATGAGAGGAAGCAAAGGAACTGTTTTGTATAAAGTCCTGTTTAGACCCTGCAGTACTTCACTTGTGTCTGTGTGTGTATGTCTGTGTCTGTGTGCGTGGGTCACTGTGTGTGTCTGTGTGTTGTGGGTGAAGTCCAGTACGCATTTGTTTAATCATAGACTAGGAACTTTGAATCGTTTGCTGTTTATAAGTCAGAAGGAAATCATTTCCCATCATGTCTGTGCTGGCTGTTTGCAGCTGCTAGCCTATTTCCCCACCTGTTCCCATAGCCCTGCTTTTTTATATTTTGGGTTCTGGTCCCATTCCCTTTTTTGAAAGGCATGTTTCCCTCTCCATCGCAGTCAGAGTGGTTTTCCACACCCTAACCACTCGCTCTGTGAACAAGTTCATCCTCCTACCACCATTGCTCCTTTTCCCAATCACCTTCAATATCCTCTGGTTCTTAATCCTTCCTCCAGTGGGAATAATTTCTCTCTGCTCTGTCCAGATTCTGAAAAGTTAGAACGAAAGTCCCCTTGACCTTCTCTGAGAAGAACAGCCCCAACTTCCCTATCCACAGAACTGAAGCCCCTTGCCCCCAAGTTCTTTATGTAGCCTTTTTAACACTATCCCCAATGCTGTCTGTCTTATTAACTACCACTTCATCTGCCCTACCACATCAGTGTTTTGTTCACCATATAATTCCAGGTCCTTTTGTTTCTGAAACTTTTTAGGATTGTACTCTTTCTATTGTCTTTTTTCATCCTTCCTATCAAACTGAATCACTTTATACATCTCTGCAGTGAATGTCACCAATACCTCCCTATCCACACGCTCTCAACGTATTATCACTGCCCTCCACAAACTTCATACTTTGCATGAGTTCTGAATCATTTATTTTGAAATTGTACCCTGCACACCCACATCTAGATCGGTTATTTTTTCTTTCAAGACAAGAAGTGGTCCTAGTATTGACTCCTTTGAACCCCAGTGTGTAGTCAGTCTGAAAAAAATCACCTTTACTGTATCCGTGCTGCCTCGGGCCCTTCCATTTTCACAGGGTGAAAGCAGGAGGAAAGAGAAGGTAGCTAGCCTGGTCTCCTGACCATCTGAAGGGGCAACACCATGAAAGGACAGTCAGTTATAGGGACGTGGAGAGGCATGCCTGAGCTCTGGCTAAAAGGAGCAACTATAGTCTGGCCTTTGGGACATGAGAGAGACCGAGACAAAACAGAGAATGTCAGAGCAGCCAGTTCATGTATGTTTCAGGAACAGACGTGGCTTTCCTGAGACTAATTTCCATGGACCGGTGCTCTATATCTGATTGAAGAGATACTGCCTAGACCAAAGATGCACCTTGATGCCTCTTACTTTAGCCCTGATGACTGAGGACCTGAGCTGATGTTGCCCAGTATCTTCCAGCTCTCGTGCCATCATCATCAGAAGCTTCTGCCTTCACCCAGCCCAAGGCAGGAGGAGTTTTGGGGCTGTGAGTGGAATGGGTCCAGGGGTCTATCTGAGTGTGAAACCTGTTCCAATCACTCATCACTCCCCTCGACCCCTGATGGGTGCTGATTTTACTTGTTTCTTCCATGGTCTGGTAGTGTCTCAATTATAGGATTCTAAGTTTTGTTTTCAACTCTCTCTCAGGCCTCACCTCTGCCCAACTCTGTCACCTCTTCCAGCTCCACAAACCTTTGAGATCTCTGCAGTTGTTTAATTCTGCCGACCTTAGCTCCCCCAATTTTAATCACCTGTATTAGCTTTGTCTGCCAAAATCCCGAGCTGTACAATCCCCTTCCAAATGTCTGTCTTTGCCCGTTTCTCGCACTTTTTGTATGGCTCATACTATCTCTCATGTGCGCTTCAATCTCGTGTCTGCTCTGTCTCTCTATCTCATGCGCACTGTCTCTATCTCTCACATATTCGCTCTCTCTATCTCTTGCATGCTCTCTCTCACACTTGTGCTGTCTCTTATTTACTCACTCTCTCTACTTCTTGTTTGCTATTTCTGTTGGTCTTTCACTCACCCTTTCTATTGCTCACTCGCTCCCTCTGTCTCTTGTTCATTCTGTCTCACCTTGGGACGTTTCTGTGTTAAAGGTGTTAAAGGTGCTTAGCGGTCTTCCACTTAAGAGATGAGGAGGAACTTGTACTCTCAGAGGGTTGTACATCTTTGGAATTCTGTTCGGCAGATCGTGGCGGAGGATTGTCACTGCACATGTTTAAGACCGAGTTAGATTTTTGATCAGTTGAGGGTTTCGACGTTTAAGGGGACAGACAGGGAGGTGAGTTGAGGCCACAGTCTTATCAAATTGTGAAGGAGGCTGAAGAGACTGAATGGCCTACTCTAGTTCCCAGTTCGTTTTGAGTCATCAAGGGAGACAACCAGATGGTGTAGGACTGATGCCAGACTGGGTAAGGAAGGGCCAACTCCCTCAACGAATTGGATTTTTATGACAAGCCAGCAGATGTCTCGATCATTCATCTGGTGCCAACCCACAGGTTATGTCATGTACTAAACTTAGCACCAGACATTGGCATCAAGGTGGGATTTGAAGCCATGACATCTGGGTTTGTAAAATTGCTGAGCTCCCATAGCCTTCGCTCCAACCCAAACTCTAAGCTGAGTTAGCAGTAATGATCTTCCCTCACCTCATATTGGCAAGGGGTTTTACCAGTTTCCCTAGAAAGCTCGTGATTGTGGTCAGTGTTAGCTGTGGGAAGTGTAGGATTGGCTGCAATCTATTTTTGATAGGCATGTTTATAAAGGGATATGGAGCTAAGGCAGGTACATAGCATAAAGATACCCATCAGCCATCATCTATAGAATGGCTGATAAGTTGTTAACATCGAAGAAACTGAACCTGAACCTTAGTAAAAGAATACTGAGGTAATAGACAGTGTTATCTGCATTCTTTCCATCAAACTGTCGGTAAGCCAAAGGCTTATTTGAAATGTGGGAGGAACAGGGGCATGTTCCACATATCCACAGCCTAATGAGGAGAAAAGGGTAAACTAGTGCATAACGTTGAAGTCAGGAAGGTCAGACCATTGAAGTAAACAATAGATTTACTAATTGAAAGGAAAGATCAACAAATACTGGAGGAGAAGGAACCATAGAAAATAGGAACAGGCGTAGGCCATTCAGCCCTTCAAGCCTGCTGCTCCATTCAATATGATCATGGCTGACCATCCAACTCAGTCCCCTGTTCCCACTTCCTCCGCATAACCTTTGATCCCTGTAGTGATTGGAACCAGGTGGACCTTGTTGACTAAGAGATCCTTGATTGGCCCAGGTTAACAACCTCAATCAGGAAAACCTAAGCTGAGCAACAGGGGATTAAGTAAATCAAGAGCAACTTGGTGATGGGATACCAGTTATTTCACTCCTGGATTACCTGCTACACGTGGGTGCTAGCTTTCTATGTTTTGTGGACAGATATCTCCAAGGCCCATTGTGTTGCATCTTTCTTTTGTTCTCCCGTCCAAATGAATAACTTCACATTTTTCCACATTATAATCCATTTGCTAACTTCTAGCCCACTTACTTAATGTATCAATACCTCTGTAAACTGGTGTGTCCCTCTCACAACGTGCCTTTTCACCTATTTTTCTGTTGTCTGCAAATGTGGCTGCAGTATACTTCCTGCCTCCAAGTCATTAATGTACCTTGTAAACAGTTGCAGTCCCAGCACTGATCCGTGTGGAACCAAAAGGTATAAACAGGAGATTCAGAATCTCCTCGGTTCAGGGGACTGACTCTGAGCTGGCTGGTCACAGCCATGTACTGTGCACAAATGTATAAAGGGTGACTTAGTGATGGGATACTGGCCTTTGTGCAGTTATTTCAATTCCCTTAGCCCCAAGAAGTAGATGTAACTCTTTTATGAAGACATTCAATGTTTTGGCCTCAACTGTTTCCTGTGGCAGAGAATTCCACAGGCTCCCCACTATCTGGGTGAAGAAGGTTCTGCTCATCTCAGTCCCAAATGGCCGACCCCATATCCTCAGACTGTGACCCTCAGTTCTGAAATCCCCAGACAAGAGAGAAGTAGATGAGGATAGAATGTACTGGGTACAGTGATTTATGTGGGTGTGTAAGGATGGACCGAAGTGAAGATCCGCCAATCTTTTCGGGAGAAGAATGAGCTGACCAATAAATTTTGTGAATCATAGGAAGAAAGGAAATCGGAGCAAGATTAGGCCACTTTGGCCCATCGAGCCTGCGCAACTATTCAACGGGATCATGGCTGATTATCTACGGCCATGTTACTTTCTTCCCTGGTGTTATTAGTGTCCAGAAATACATTGAATTCTGCCTTCAAGTGCGAATCTCTTTATGTTTCAGGTACGAACATTATGGCATGATCCCAAGAATATTGGCTGGAAGGATTATACTGCCTACAGGTGGCACTTAATCCACAGACCCAAGACAGGCTTCATCAGGTAAGTCACACAGTATCCCCACACAAATACAGTGGGTGTCCAAACACACCTGGGGGCTCAGGTGCATAGGTCTGTAAAATGGCACAGACTGGCACAGAATATAATCAAGTCAGCTAATGGAACACAGCCCTTTATATCTAGTGGACTGAAGTATAAGGATACAGAAGTTATGCTGCAGTTATACAAAATCCTGGTTAGACCCCCACTTGGAGCACCGTGAGCAGATCTGGGCACCACACCTTAGGAAGGATATACTGGCCTTGGAGGGAGTACAACATAGGTTTACAAGAATAATACCTGGATTTCAGAGGTTAAGTTATAAAGGGTGATTGTACAATTCAGGCCTGTTTTGCCTAGAATTTAGGAGGTTAAGGGGTGCTCTGTTCGAAGTCTTCATCGTATTGGGGAGTCCTAAACTTGAGGGTATAGGTTTAAGGTGAAAGGGGAAATATTAAAAATGGACCTGATGGATATCTTTTTCATGCACATTCTGGTGCGTGTATGGAGCGAGCTGCCAGAGGAAGTGGTGGAGGCTGGTACAATTACAACATTTAAAAGGCATCTAGATGGGTATATGAATGGAAAGGGTTTGGAGGGATATGGGCCAGATGCTGGCAAATGGGACTAGATTAATTTCAGACACCAGGTCGACATGGTTGAGTTGGACCAAAAGGTCTGCTTTGATGCTGTTTAACTCTGATTCTACGACTACAGGAAAAGGCAGGGTAGATAAAGATAAACTATTTCCACTAGTTGGGGATTCTAGAACTATGGCAATAGTCTGAGAAGTAGGGTCAGACCATTCAGGAGAGATGCTTCCACACTCAAAGGGTGGGAGAGGTTTGGAACTCTCTTCCACAAATGGCAGCGGATGCCAGATCAGTTGCTAATTTTAAATCTGAGAAAGATCATTCTTTTGTAATGAAAAGGCGTTAAGGGAGATGCACCAAAGCAGGTCTACAGAGGCAGGCGACCGAGCAGCCATGATCTCATTGAATGGTGGAACAGGCTTGTGGGGCAGAATGGCCTACTCCTGTTCCTAAGTTTCTTTAAATGATGGCAAATCCTGCAGTCATCTAGAACCCTTCGTCCTGGAGAAATAACACAGAGACTGCCTACAGTTGGAAATTCCACTCTGCTGGGATGGGAAAAGCCTTGGCTGGTCTGACCTATCATTTTGTTTTGAACAGCAATATTGCCAGGCAGCAAGAGAGAGGATCCAGAGGTTTTTCAAATATAAATGATCAATTCATGGCATGTGGGCACTTTAATTTGCTCTGGAGAAAATGGTGATGAGCTGTCTTCTAAAAGCATTGCAATCTTTGGGGTGTAGGTTCACCAGCAAGGTGTTTGGGATAGAGCTCATAGAACCCCACAGGTGAGAAACAGGCCATTTAGCCCTACAGGTCCACACTGATACTCTAAAGAGCATCCCGCACAGACCCATCCCCCTACATGTGCATTTAATGCACTGAACCTAAACATCCTTGAGCACTATGGGCAATTTAGCATGGCCAATCCATCCAACTTGCATATCTTTGGACTGTGGGAGGAAACCTACACAGACACAGAGAGAACATGCTAACTCTGCACAGTTAAATCGAACCTGGGTCCCTGGTGCTGTTAGGCAGCTGTGCTAACTACTGAGCCACCATGCCTCCCAAAGGTTCTGGGATTTTGACCCAGTGATAGTGAAGGAACAGTGATATATTTCCAAGTCAGAATGAAGGGGAGCTTGCAGGTGATGGTGGTGTTCCCATCTGCTGCCCTTGACCTATAAAGTGGTGGAGGTAGAGGCTGCAGATTTGGAAGTTGCTGTCGGAGAAGCATAGGTGAGTTTCTGTAGTGCATTGTGAAAATGGTACACGCTGCTGCTACTGTAGTCAATGATGAAGGGAGTGAATATTGAAGGTGGTGGATGGGGTCCTGATCAAGCAAGCTGCTTTGTCCTGGATGGTGTCAAGCTTCTTGAGTGTTGATGGAGCTGCACTCATCCAGGCAAATGGGGAGTATTCCATCACACTCCTGACTTGTGCCTTGTAGGTGGTCAGGCTTTGGGGAGTTGGGGCAGGAGTTACATACTACAGAACTCCTAGACGCTGACCCCTTCTTGGAGCCACAGTATTTATACAAAGTGTTAAAGTGCCATCAGAGACAAAGACCTTCAGTTACATAGACAGACTGCAGAAGTTGGGGCTGTTGTCCTTAGAGCTCACAAGATGAGATCTGAGAGAGTCGTTAAAAGGTATAACAGCCATTGATTCGCTGATAGACTCAGAATGGTTACAACTCAGAATGAGGCCTTCGCCCACTGTGTCTCTCCTGGCTGTCTGTAAGAGAGATAATGTTTCAGGGGCGTCGGTTCAAATCCCACATGGCAGATGGTGGCATTTGAACTCAGCTTTTGAAAAATCAAATCCAATGGGAACCGTACAGCTACCATTAATTGGATTCACTAATGTCCTTTAAGGAAGGAAATCTGCCACCTTACCCCTGGTCTGACCCACATGTGACTCCATGTACAAGACTGTCTTGTATCAGTATGACTGACCCAAAATCAGTTCTAAGCTTCAGAAACACGACCATCCCGCCGTGGAGGATAGGGTGACCCCCAGCCCCCTCCATTCTGCCTTTAATGAAGGTCCCAGGGTATATCTTTGTGGGGATACTCTGTTCCAACTGAAAATCCTTCATATAGGACTTGAAGAGGTCAGCAGGGTATATGTGTTCATAAGGCCATTAGATGTAGGAGCAGAAGTAGGCCATTCTGCCCATAAAGACCCAACCTCAACAGCCCTCTGTGGTAAAGAATTCCACAGATTCACTATCCTCTGAGACAAGAAATTCTTCTTCATCTCTGTCTTAAATGTGTGACCCTTTATTCTGAGATTCTGCACTTTCGCCTTAGACTCTCCCACAAGGGGAAACAACCTCTCCGCATCTACCTTGTCAAGTCCTCTAAGAATCATGTATATTTGTTAAGATCTCCTCTCATTCTTCTCAAGCCCAACGAGTACAGACCCAATGTACTTAACATCTCTTCATAAGGCAGTTCCTTTATACCTGCTCTCAGTCTGATTAACCTTCTCTGGACTGCCTCCAGCACCAGTATATCTGAAGCTAAGTAGTGAAGTCAAGGCAAGGGTTTCAGCAGTAGCTGAGCCAGGAGAGAAGTCTGGAGATGTTACGAGGTGGAAGTGGGCTGCCTTTATGATGACGGGAATGAGGTTAGAAGTTCATCGCTGAATCAAATGTGACACCAAGGTTGGAGACAGATTGTCCCAGTGAGAGGCAGATAGTTATGCAAGTTCTTTTAGGAGTAGGCCATTCGGCCCATCAGCCCTGTTCTTCATTCAATAGGATCGTGGCTGAACCGACATTCCTCATGACCACTTTCCTGCCCTTTTTCCCCATAATCCTTGATTTCTCGACTGATCAAGAATCTATCTCTCTCAGCCTTAAATGTACGCAAGGGCTCTGCCCCCACAGCTCTCTGTGGCAAAGAGTTCCAAAGACTCTCAACCCTCAAAAGACATTCCTCCTCATTTCAGTCTTAAATTGGAGCCCCTTTATTCTGAGACTATGCCCTCTGGGCCTAGATTCTCCCATGAGGGGAAGCATCCTTTCAGCATTTACCCTGTCAGGCCCTTTAAGAATTCTGTATGTTTCAGTGAGATCACCTCTCATTCTTCTATACTCCAGTGAGTAGAGTCCTAACGTGTTTGGCTTTGCCAATAAGACAATCCATCCAGACCAGGGATCATCCTAGTGAACCTTCTCTGAACTGCTTTCAATTAAATAATGTCTTTCCTTTCAGTAAGGGGACCAAAACTGCTCACAGTGCTCCAGATGTGGTCTCACCAGAAACATATACAGTTGCAGTAAGATTTCCCTACAGTTACACTCCAAACCCCTAGAAATAAGGACCCACATTCCATTATCCTTCCTGATTGCCTGCAGTTTCTGTGTGCTAGCTTTCTGTGTTTCATGCACAAATGTACCTTTCTTCCGTACTGAACCCCTGATAGTCATACAGAGATCTTTAGTTGCTATTTTCCTGGAGGTGTTCACTGATTGAGTTTCACTTGGTTGACACCTCTATTGAAACTGAAGACAGAAGAATCTCTAAGGAATGCAATAAATCCCATCACACCACAGCTCCCTTTCAACGCCAAAATTTCCAAGGTGAACAGTGAGCATTTTAGTCAGAGCCCAGAAAATACGCATGTTGAGTTATTACTATTTGATTCAAAAGCATTTTGAAATCTGAAACCATTCAATAAAGAAGGAAACATGTGAAGAACAAAGTGAAAATCTGACTGAAATACTTCTGTCTCCCTTTACAACCATCCTTAAGATCTGCTTCTTGTATCAAACTAATGGCAAACTGCCCTAATGTCTCACTATATGGCTTGGTGTCAAATGTTCCTTTCCAACTCTCCTCTGAAGCACCCTGGGGACAGTTTATTATTTTAAGTGTTCCCTAAATCCCAGTTGGCTTCACATACCGAATGTGTCACTATGACACACAGTTCACCAAAGCAGAGAAATTCCTGCTTGTTGACCATTTCCTGACTTCTTGCAGAGAAATTACAAACTTCCAATATTTAGAAATTGATCTTTAAAGTATTGGTACGTCAGTCTAGTCGACCATTCAGTTAAATTCAAAAACGCTACTCACAGGACAAAAACAGAAGTTGCTGGAAAAGCTCAGCAGGTCTGGCAGCATCAGTGAAGAAAAATATTGGAGTTAACGTTTCGGGTCCGGTGACCCTTCCTCAGAACCGCTCACAATGATCTCTGCATGGGCAATTAGGGATGGGCAATAAATGATGGCACAGATAGTGACACCCATTTCCCCTGAATGAAGGAAAAGGTAAACTTTTATTGGATTTTAATGCCATTTCCAATAAACTAGTCTCCATTGATGGTGACAAAGTGGTGTTATTCAAATACACTGAGGGTGAGTTTTCAAAGTATGCTTTGGAAGTCGACTTTCGTCACTTAGGGGACTAGGTTCACCTCCGTATAACCCAGCCTAAACCTAGATCACAAACTGGAATATCTGACAGCAAAACAAGCCAGAAAGGAGTCTGCAGGCTCATCTCTCTCTGAAGAGTGAAGAAGACAATAATTGTCTCTGACTGTGTTAGTGAACAACAGCTCCCACTAAGCTGCTTGGCTCCATAGCCACTGGGGATCTCTGTGTCCATCAGTCAGCATCCTTATGATTGACTTCTGCTTCTGGAGCTCCTGGAGCAGCCAAAAGAATTGCAGGGAACGCCGTTGGTGAACTTTACAAGTGTTCAGGGCAAGCATTGTCTTTAAACAAAATGCAGAAATAAAAATGACTGCACTTTACTTTAAATACTGCCTTTAATCTATACATCTGATTTTATGGAGTGTGCCTGTGTGTGTTACATACAGTCATATGATGTGCTCTGAGTTAGAGAAGTTAGTGAGGCATATCTATTTTGAATGTAAACAGTCTAGTACTGTGCCACACTGTTGCTTATGGAATCTGTTCTGATGCGGGTGCATTCATGTTTCATTGACATGTGGTTGCAGTACAATGTGAAATTGATTTCAAGTATCTGACATTTGTGACTGCGGTAAACACCGAATGCTGGAGAAACTCAGCAGGTCTGGCAGTGCCTGTGGAGAGAGGGAGAAACAGAGTTAGCGTTTCGAGTCTGGTGTGATTCTTCTTCAGAACTCTGGGTGCCGCTGCTGTTGGGTACAGATGTTGTCAGACCGGCTATGTTCCTCCAGCATTTTCTATGTTTGTTTCAGATCGCCAGCATTTTGGTTTTCTCCGTGAGTACAGTTTGGTCCATTAGGAGGCATCCTCAGTTCTGCTTCTGTTTCTACAGAGTGGTGGTGTATGAAGGAAAGCAGATCATGGCTGACTCTGGCCCTATCTACGACAAGACGTTAGCTGGTGGACGACTAGGGCTCTTTGTCTTCTCCCAAGAGGCCCTCTACTTCTCTGACCTCAAGTACGAGTGTCGAGGTAAGCCTGCCTGTTGCTCTTTGTCTCTGGGTGTTTTACAGCAGAATAAGTAATGTATGCAGGAGATCCCCGCATACTATGGCACCACTCACAATATATGGTTCCACTCCAATATGATATTAATAGGACCATCTCATTCTTACTGACCCACTCACTGGGTGAAGCAACCTGGACAAAGTTGGGATTACAAGGTGTAGAGCTGGATGAACACAGCAGGCCAAGCAGCATCAGTGGAGCAGGAAGGCTGACGTTTCAGGCCTAGACCCTTCTTCAG